ATTTCCTTGCTGTCATCTGTGTAGGACCCATCTTGTTTAAGTAGGGGCCCAATACTGGACGTTGTTCTCGATTTTGATTTGGCATAGGAGAAAAATACTTTGGGTTTCTTTCGATTTCATTATGGCTTTTAGTTCTTCCCGCGATTCCTGACTCCTAAAGGATTCTTTTAGCTTAAGTTCGATGCTTGCTATTTCTCTGACCAGTGTCTCCCTACGCATTTCAGATATATTGACCTCTTTTAGCCGCTCTGTTATTCTTTTCCGTCGCCTGTAAAGGGAGCGCCTGTCTCTTTCTATTTTACATCTACTCCTCCTTTTTCTTAGAGGAATAAGCCTTGTGCATACATCGAGTGCCACCGAGTTAATCTGTTCTAGGCATAAGTTGGGGTCTGTGTTGCTTAGTATATCTTCCCAGCTTATATCGGTTAGGACTTGGTTTACTTGGTCCCACTTTATGTTTTTGTTATTGAAGTTGAATTTGGTGAATGCTCCCTCGTGACTAATCTCATTTTGTCGGTCTGGGGCTCCACGCATACATGTCTGAACCTCAATTATGTTGTGATCTGAGTATATTGTTTTTGATATGGTGACATTTCTTATCAGATCATCATTGTTAGTGAAGATGAGGTCTAGTGTATTCTCCAGTCTAGTAGGCTCTATTATTTGCTGGTTTAAATTGAATTTTGTGCAGAGATTTAAAAGCTCGCGTGAGTGTGAGTTTTCATCAGAGCTGCCTCCTGGTGTTATTACTGCAACAATATTATTTGCTATATTCCTCCATTTTAGGTGCCTTAAGTAGAAATCCCCCAGGAGCAAGATGTTGGGTGCAGGAGCTGGAAGATTTTCCAGACAGTGGTCAATTTTTAACAGCTGTTCCTGGAATTGCTGGGATGTTGCATCCGGAGGCTTGTAGACTACCACAATGACTAGGTTTTGGTTCTCGACCTTTACTGCTAAAACTTCCACTACATCATTTGAGGCATTTAGCAGTTCTGTGCAAACAAGTGACTCTGCAATGTACAGGCCAACCCCCCCCTTTTGCCTGTTCACTCTGTCACATCTGTATAGGTTGTAACCTGGGATCCATATTTCGTTGTCCAAGTGATCCTTTATGTGGGTCTCAGTGAAAGCCGTGAACATTGCCTTTGCCTCTGCAAGCAGTCCACGGATGAAAGGTATTTTGTTGTTTGTTGCTGGCTTTAAACCCTGTGTATTTGCAAAGAAGAATGTTATCGGACTGGTGGTATTGTTGGTACTGGGGGGGGATTTTTTTTCCGGCATTAGTATCTGTACATTAGTATGGTACAATTGTGCCATATGGTACAATGGTGCCATGTCATACAGTGGTATCATATGATACAATGGTATATGGTACAATGGTATCATATGGTACAATGGTATCATATGGTACAATGGTACCATATAGTACAATGGTACCATATAGTATATTGTACCATGTGGTACATTATACCATATGGTACAGGGACCCTAATGGAAATAAGTCTGTCTGACTCTTTTGGGTTATACTAGGTTCTCCAAACATATGCTGCTAAGTATGATATTCTATGGTACCCTGTGCCATATGGTACCCTGTGCCATATGGTACCCTGTGCCATATGGTACCCTGTGCCTTATGGTACCCTGTACCATATGGTACCCTGTACCATATGGTACTCTGCACCATATGTTATCCTGTACTGCATGGTACCCTATACCATATGCAGTGGAACCTCAAAAATCGTACGTATCACTTATCGAACGTTTCGAAAATAGGACCATTTTTTCGGAGAAACTGTGTCCCTATTATCGAATGTGCCCCTATTTTCGGACCGCCGGGTATGGGATCTGCCTGCCGGCCTGCTCTGTCCGCGTCCCTGCGCAGGCGCCGTGAGCAGTCTAGCTTTGTTTATGCTTGAGTGAACACTAACCTGCGCTCTCATTCACGCATTTTATGATTATTTCGTTGTGTTTAGTGCTTGTGGGACTGTGAAATAAGCTGCCATGGGCCCAAAGAAACTGGCTAGTGGTACCCGCGTGGTAAAGAAATTGAGAAACACCATAGATGTGAAGAAGGAAATAATACAGAAGTATGAGGGTGATGTGAGACTTGTTGAGCTCGCCAGGATGTATGGGAAAAACAAGTTGACCATCGGTTCTATCCTGTCAAAGAAAGAACAAATCAAGGAAGCTGATGTTGCGAAAGGTGTTAATATAGGGAGTGGATGAGGTGCCTTCTTCAAAGATTAAGGAGATTTGTGCCAAGTGGAATGATGTCCAAATGTTTGTGCAGAAGTACCACCCTGAGTAAGCTGAAACAAGCCATCTTTGCAACAAGTTCAGTGACAAAACCATGTCCCATTTTAGAGAAATGTTAAAGAGGCGTCAGAAACAGAGGACTGTGGACAGTTATTTTGTGAGACAGGGGTCCAGTGACTCTCAAGCTGGTCCTAGTGGCATTAAAAGACAGAGAAGGGAAGTAACCCCAGAGAGGGCTTTACCTGAAGTCCTCATGGAGGGGGATTCTCCTTCCGAACACTAACCCCAACTCCCTCTCTCCTCCTCCCTATCTTCCAGATGCCATCACCAATCTTCAATAAAGGTAAGTAAAAATGTTATTTTATATGTATTACTATACATAATTAAAAACTATAGTATTTGTTGTATATAAAACTGTAATTAATCTCTATAAAATGTATTTTTTTGTGTGAATATTTTTGGGTTTCTGTAACGGATTAATTGTATTTCCATTATTTCTCATGGGAAATATTGCTCCGAATTTCAGACTTTTTGAATTTAGAACTAGCTCTTGGAACGGATTAAGTTCGATTTTTGAGGTTCCACTGTAGTACAATGTACCATATGGCACCCTGTAACATATGATACCGTGTACCATATGGTCAATAGGTGTTGGTGGCATGAGACACCAGCCACGACTGAGTGAGTGGCGACACAAGCTAGCTACTGACTCCGCAGTTTCCCAGACAAAGTGCTTTGTCATCCACCACAAGGAACACGTCAAGTTCCTGTACACTTGTAAATATATAATAGAACATTACTAATATACAACATTTTTGCATATTTTTGTTGTAAACAACTATTGTAAACAAAATAATAATGAAAATATTAGTGTGTTTATTGTGTTGAATACAACAGTACCATATAGTACCATATGGTACAGTGAACCATATGGTATCATTGTACTGTATGGTACAATGTACCATATGGTACCATTGCATCATATGGTACCATATGGTACCATTACACCATATGGTACCATAAGGTAATATTGCACCATATGGTACCATTGTATCATATGGTACCATTGTTCCAAATTGTTCCATTGTACCATATGGTACCATTGTATCATATGGCACCATTGTATCATGTGCCATTGTGAGATATTGTACCATTTAGTACCATTGTCTCATATGGTGCCATTGTACCATATGGTACAATTGCACCCTATGGCACCATTGTACCATATGGTACTACGTATATGGTACCATTGTATTCAGCACAATAGCCGCACTAATATTTTCATCATTTTGTTTACAATAAACTTGTAAACAAGTTTTGTAAGCAATATAATGATAAACAAATTAGTGCAGTTATTGTGTTGAATACAATGAGTGTACACTTATACAATATACATTATACTGGTCTCACAGGCCACAAATGTTATTAGAAAAAGAAAAAAATTAGAAAAGAAAAAAAGTATAAAAAACGTAAAATAAAAAAAATGGGATTTTGCGGAAGTCACTGATGTTGCTGCCACCCGGTCATTTTGGGTCAACTTCCCGCTGCTGTATCTCAGTAAGTACTGATCAGAAATTTTTTTTTTTGTCTTATTACCTTCACAAAAATATACTCTTTAATTCTGTAAGAAAAAATAATTTTTTTTTTTTCAAAATTTCTTAGACACTGGAGCACCACTTCAGATTTTGGCCTTGGACCCTGAAGGGGTTAAAGGAGGTGTTTGGGATATTGGCAGTTTTGAGTGATACGTTATATATCTTTACATGTGCTTTTAAACTGTTGTATCTGGGCACCTCTGCAAAGACAGTGATTATGTATGAGTGAGGTGAAAGTGTTTAATGATGATGAAAGTATTTTCTTTTTGGGGATTTTCTTTCTTTTTGTGTCACCCTGCCTCGGTGGGAGACGGCCGATTTGTTGAAAAAAAAATATCTGTATAAATTATAAATACCACTTTTTTTTTTAACAAGTTGGCCGTCTCCCACCGAGGCAGGGTGACCCAAAAAGAAAGAAAATCCCCAAAAAGAAAATACTTTCATCATCATTCAGCACTTTCACCACACTCGCACATAATCACTGTTTTTTGTGGAGGTGCTCAGAATACAACAGTTTAGAAGTATATATGTATAAAGATACACAACATATCCCTCCAAACTGTCAATATCCCAAACCCCTCCTTTAAAGTGCAGGCATTGTACTTCCCATTTCCAGGACTCACCTCCGGCTATATAAAATAACCGGTTTCCCTGAATCATTCATTAAATATTACCCTGCTCACACTCCAACAGCTCGTCAGGTCCCAAATACCATTCATCTCCATTCACTCCTATCTAACACGCTCACGCACGCTTGCTGGAAGTCCAAGCTCGCCCACTAAACCTCCTTTACCCCCTCCCTCCAACCTTTTTGAGGACGACCCCTACCCCGCCTTCCTTCCCTTACAGATTTATACGCTCTCCATGTCATTCTACTTTCATCCATTCTCTATAAATGACCAAACCCCCTCAACAACCTCTCTTCAGCCCTCTGACTAATACAATTTATCCACATTAAATTCCCTCATCCATTTACTCGATTTATGCAGGTGTTAATGTATAACATTTACTGGGTTTATCCAGGTGTCGATATATAACATTTACTGAATTTATGCAGGTGTTAATGTATAACATTTTGCTTTCCATGTTTATATTTCACTTACATTGTTTTGATACTTGTCTATTGAGATCTTGATGTTCATTTTCCAGGCTCATATGACAGATTGCCACTGACCATACGTCAGCGCATTCTTCCTCCGGAGCCGGTGACAGCCTTGGAACGTAAACAAACCTTGGCTCGTCTAGAGCAGATCATCCAGCATCGGCTGGTAACTTCTGAGCTGCCTCCGCAGATGAGAACAAGCAGGGTAACTTGAAACATTTCTTCTTATAATTAGCGTCTTAGTTTTTAGTTAAGCTTAAGTGAATTTTTATAATTCTTTCAGTTGAAACCAAAAATTAATTTTTCATTAAATAAAATTACTACTTGTAATGTAAGTTTTAGAAAATAAGCTAATACAGTGGACCTCCGGATTACATAATTAATCCGTTCAGAGCGAGTGACTTCTCCCGAATCTGACTTCTTCTGAATTAATTTTCCCCATAAGAAATAATATAAATCCAATTAATCCTTTTCAGACACCCAAAAGCATTAAAAAAATGTTTTCTACGTGAAATATACATTTACCTACACAGAAAACAATGATACATGAAGAATAAAACAATAATAACATCACACTTACCTTTATTGAAGACATGGTGATGTATGGAAGACAGGAGGAGAGGAGAGGATTGAGTAGTTTACGAGTGTTTGGAAGGGGAATCCCCTTCCATAAGACTTCAGGTACCAAGTCTTTATCCTGGGTTACTTCCCTTCTTGTTTTTTAATGCCACTAGGACCAGCTTGAGAGTCACTGGACCCCTGTTGCTCAAAAACGGGTTCCAAAGAGGTCTGTTCTGGATTATGTTAGGAATTGTATTGGGAGACAGGACAAGATAATCCTTCAATATGGCACTAATATCAGCTCTACGGCTTATTTATCTAGCGGAATTCATCTAATATGACATAATAGACAATATTAATAACATAGAAACATGATATATACCCTAGAATGAATAAAATATGGCATTAAGAATGTTATGAGTGGTGGTGTATTGTTTGTTGTTAGGCGTATAAGGGCCACTCATAGTGGTGGTGAAGGCGGCAGCAGAGGCGGCAGTGTTACTCAGTAGCCCTATATACCTCCAACAACAATGGAGAAGTCAGTTTCGTGCTGTCCTTTTTCTATCGATTAATTGGATAACTTACTTGCTACACTGTTAATGCTACAGTTTATCACTGGCTGGCACTATAGCCTTTATCGATTCCTGCTGCTTCAGTATCGTACATATTGCAGAATCACTGAAAAAGGCACATTCTCCCCTCTCTGTCAGCCCTTTAGCAAAGGGCTGGCTGGCACTAGAAGCTTTCTTTGGGCCCATGGTGGCTTATTTAGCAGTTACAAGCACTACAAACAATGGAATAATACAAAATGTATTGCATGTACGTGTGGTAAACAATGGCACACTGCCTGTACATGGAGTGTCTGGGCCACTCAGGCCGCGCGGACACATTCTGGACAAATGACTTGTACCGAGTTCAGTGTCGTTCACTGAGCCAATACTTCGATGCAAAAAACGTTACTTATTCCGAATATTACTTATTCCAATGACGTCTTAATCCGGGGTTCCACTGTACTGTGTGTACAGGTGAATCCTCAAGGCCTCATGTAATTGAAGTTGCTTGTAATAAGAAATTTTGCATATCATCAAAACCCAGTGAGGAGCAAGGGTGCAGTGGGGTCAATAAGGAAACACTGTATCAATATCTGGGGTCCCAGACTATTCAGCATCTTACAAGAAGATATCAGAAACATGGCTGGAACAAGTGTAGAAGCCTTCAAGAGGAAACTGGACAAGTATCTTCACCAGGTGCCAGGTCAACCAGCCTGTGATGGATATGTGGGACAGCAGTCCTCCAGCAGCAACAGCCTGGTTGATCAGGCAAGCACCAGACGAGCCTTGCCCATGGCCTGGTAGAAGTGAACTGATGTTATTCAGATGGCCCTCTGAACTGCAAGATTCTCAGCCCTCCTTCAGGGTACAGCCACTGTAATTTACACCTTCAGGACTCAAGTCCGGCTAACTGCTTTCGCTGAACCCCCTTTGTAAGTGTTAACCTTGCGTGCACTAACAGCATGTCAAGACATAAAAACCACTTGTCTTAACTAAATACAGTCTAGCATGCTTACACAAGACTGTTGAATATTCAAGTCCCTATGATTCACAAAATCATAACAACACAATTGCAAACAAACTATAGTAAGGGTGGGGACTGAACTCACTGCAAGTTCAGTCCCCATCTGTACCGTGGTTTGTTTTTTCAAGTCCCTGGTATTCAAAATCTCTTTTATTCCCTCCAGTTCTTCTAGGATGACTCTTAATCCCCTCTCCCCCTCCTTCATTTAATCTTGGATTTATGTACAGCACTCTCCAAGTCATCCTATTCTTTAGTCTCTATGAATGCCAAACCACCTCAACAGTCCATCCTCAGCCCTCTGGTCATAGTGGGCCCATGCTAACCTCCCTGTTGTGTATAGAAATATACATAGTTGGATGAATCTTTTTGTAGCCAGCTGGCCCAGTGGCTTATGCACTGGTCTGCAGTTTTGCAACTCACTTGCCATGAGTTCTAACCACACCCGTACAGTGGTTTGTTTCCAGTCATGTTATTACGATTTTGTGAGTCAGCTCTGAGTTATTCTTTTGGTAGCCCCTACACTGTTTCCTAATTTCCACACTCCAGATTCTCTGCATAGTATTCATTACTCTCATACCTGGAGTTTACCTGGAGAGAGTTTCGGGGGTCAACGCCCCCGCGGCCCGGTCTGTGACCAGGCCTCCTGGTGGATCAGCGCCTGATCAACCAGGCTGTTGCTGCTGGCTGCACGCAAACCAACGTACGAGCCACAGCCCGGCTGATCAGGAACTGACTTTAGGTGCTTGTCCAGTGCCAGCTTGAAGACTGCCAGGGGTCTGTTGGTAATCCCCCTTATGTGTGCTGGGAGGCAGTTGAACAGTCTCGGGCCCCTGACACTTATTGTATGGTCTCTTAACGTGCTAGTGACACCCCTGCTTTTCATTGGGGGATGGTGCATCGTCTGCCAAGTCTTTTGCTTTTGTAGTGAGTGATTTTCGTGTGCAAGTTCGGTACTAGTCCCTCTAGGATTTTCCAGGTGTATATAATCATGTATCTCTCCCTCCTGCATTCCAGGGAATACAGGTTTAGAAACCTCAAGCGCTCCCAGTAATTGAGGTGTTTTATCTCCGTTATGCGCGCCGTGAAAGTTCTCTGTACATTTTCTATGGCATCTTCACTGCCTTCAGCCTCTTCCTCATTGCAGCTTATTCCTCACACCCATATAAAGGTGTTAGTACCATTTTACTCTGGTACAACATTCCCCTTTGTGTAGAAATTACCTCCAGCAGTGGGCGAGCAATACTGTATGTGACTCCCCCCTCCCTTGCAGTGTGGGAAAGAGGGAGGGGTCATGACCCACTTGCTTCCCCCTTTGGAGGAAATTTCTCCACACCCTTATTTGCCTACATAGATCAACTTCTCACCGATTCCTCAACACACAACATCGAGCTTTTGCCCTCCTCATCTATTCTATGGTTCATATCATCTTTCATTGATCCATCAGCTGAAACGTCCACTCCCAAAAATCTGAATACAGTGGAACCTCGGTTTTTATGATTAATCTGTTCTAAAATGTCTGATGAAAACCAAATTGTACGAAAACTGAAGCTATATTTCCCATGAGAAATAATGTAAATCCAATTAATCCGTTATAGACACCCCAGAAATATTAACAAAAATACATTTTATAGAGAATAACTATAGTTTTACATTAAAAAAAATGAGAAATATATATAACTAATGAAATGGATAAATGAACATTTAACATCACTTTTACCTTTATTGAAGACTCTTGTTGGTGTATGGAAGATGGCGAGGAGGGGAGATGTTGTTTGGAAAGGAAATCCCCCTTCCATAAGGACTTCAAGTATCAAGGCCCTATCTGGGGTTACTTTTCCTCTTTGTCTATTAATGGCATTAGGACCAGCTTGAGAGTCACTGTATCCCTGTTGCACAAAAAATCTGTCCAGAGAGGTCTGTTTCTGGCGTCTCTTAAGATTTGTCTAAAATGGGACAAAGCATTGTCATTGAACATGTTGCAGACACGGCTTGCAACAGCTTTGTTAGGGTGATATTTCTCCACAAAACTTTGCAACTCGCTCCACTTTGCACACACGTCCTTAACCCTTCGACTGTCGAAAGGCCCAATCCCGAAGTGTCTCCTGGTGCCGCAAAAATTTTGAAAAAAAAAAAAAAATTTTCTTATGAAATTGTTAAGATTATTTTTCTGATTGTTTTAATTAAAAAAAAAAAATTTCCCCATCAGTACTTACCGAGATATAGAGACGGCGTGAAGTTTGCAGAAAATGAGTCGCGTGTGGCAACACCGGTGACTGCCGTTCACCTGGTAAACTTTGGTTTACGTTTATTCAACGGTTTCTTGTTTTTTCACTATTTTATTTTTTCACATAACTTTTGTGGCCTGTGAGACCAAAGTATGGTGCAGTGTTCATATATACACTCGTTGAATGTAACACAATTATAGCAAAAACACTGATATCATCATAATGTTTATAAAACTTGTTTACACAAACAAACAATATAAAAAATTGTTTATTATGATTGTTCTATAATATATATACATATGTACAATCACTGGACACCTTTCTAGAACTGCTGCAGCTTGTGGAATTCTTTGAAACATGGGTGTAAGCACAATGATGTTTTACACTCCTTATTCATAAAATGAATGTCTCTGCATTTTTGTGGGCATTTTGTGGTATGTCCACAGACAAAACACCTCTTCTGAGCATTTTTCTTGAGAGCAGTAGCAGGCAGTGGTATGGGGTAGTGATCACCGGGCCTCAGACGAGAGGACATGTGTTGATAATTTCGTGGGCGCTGGTCTATTGCAAGTGTTGTTCCTTGGTACTTGAATATTATTTGTCTGATGACTGACAAACAAAATTCACCATATTTAGGTTTGTTGTTGGTCTTTAACTTATACATATTATAAGCATTCAGCATGGAAATTCAGCTGCAGGTTTTACAATGGGTTCATTGCTCTCTCTTTTCTGCTTGCCACTGTCTACCATTTTGTGTCGGTGAACTGATGTCAACAGTGTGACATCACGTTTGTCATGCCACCAAAATGCCATGATGTCATTGGCAGCAAACACCTGCACCTCACCTCTACGA